TTGGACGGCTTCACCGCTCTTCTTGTTGCCCTAGAAACAGGAACAAGGTTTTGAAAACGCAGGCGAAATGGGAACAAATCGCTGAACGCGAGCGCGACAAATGTACACAAACGGAGTGCAGAATCGGCCTCTTCGTCAAGGTCGCCTCCCTTTGAAAAGCCTGCCCTGCAAAGGCCAAGGACTGTCTGCGGACACCGCGCGTTACCAGGACAACCAGCGTGCAAATCAAATCGCTAGGTCTGTTAAACAGAAAGACAAATGACCTGCAACTGCCTCTGTATGGCACAGATTTCTGGAACGCTGTTATTCACACATAAGTTTGGTTATGAAACCTAGTTTCCTACATAGACAGTATTTTAATGCACCACCGGCACGCTCCCTACGCAAAGCCTGTTCTAAAAGGTAGCCAACAATAATATCCTGCATTTAAAAAAATCTTTTTGGCAAGCGCAGTGAAAAATCCATTCAAGATGGTAGATCCCTTAAGCTGAGAGAAACGTTGACTAAAAATGTACGTTGCATTCAAAACTGAAAGTTTTAATTGCACTATTTTACACAATATTTGTGTGTTGTTTATTTCTTAATAGCGTATTAGCTCAATATTTTGTGCCATCAGCTTAGCAAATTCCTTGCTAAATTCCTCACAAGTAGTGCTATCTTGTTTGGAGTCAACGTAATATTAAAATAGACCCGATTTACGATGAATACACATTCCTGGTCTTATTGTGAATGATTCATGTGTACATTTTTCCAAATCAAAATATTTTTGTCTTCTTGTATTTTGTAACCACATCGTATTAACTTTCTCCACCTCTGGAAACGATTTCACTACAAAATATGTTGACTTTTCAATAAAAAAAAACAAAAAAACAACAACAACAAAAAATCACTAAAAACAAAATTATTAACCCTCAAAGACCTAAACATTGATATTCATTATTTGTTTTTCACCCTTTGTCTTTAGGATGTCATTAGTTATAAAAACTACTTTGTTTTGGCAAAATTTGCATCTGTATATTTTGAGAACCTTTGAATTTATAACACTCAGCACACAAATGTACTTGAAAAATAAAATATTTCAACCAGTAAGAATACAGTTATGAATATTCATATGACAGCAGTTTTAAGTAAAATGTATTCATTTTTAATACAAATTAATTAAATAATTAGCATTAAATAAATAAAATTAAATAAAATAAATATTTTTTATGTATTTTTATACCTCTCAGAATACAGCTGAAAAAAGTATATTTTTGTATAGTTTTATTCATACACTCCACTGTGAGAACAACAGAAAATGCCTCATAAGTTTTGCTACACTTTAAAAATGGTCTCAAATTTATGTACTTTCACATACAAGACTTTTCCTATCATTAGACACAGAAATATCTTTTTTTTAATATTGTATGTCAAATACATATTTCATGAATAGATAAACTTGTTCAGATTTCTGTTAATATCTGATATTTGTCCACCAAAAGTGTCGTTCTGATAAAGTGTCAGCTATTTTTATGTGTAGTTTTTAACCCATACTTAGCAAAAGTTAGGTATTATTTGATAGTTTTTTTGTTTTTGTTTTTTTTACAAACGTTGCAATTGTTTTACGCTGGGTTAAAAACCAGTCCAAGTTAGTTTAAGCTGGTCTTTCAGCCTGACCAAGCTGGCCCAAAGTACCCAAAACCCAGCTAAAACCAGTCTGGGAGACCAGCTAATACATTTTTTCCCCATTCAGCAGGGTTTATCTAAGGCCAACCAGTCATCAGGAACATGATTGATTCATTCCTCTCGATTTGGACAGATTATTCTCTTAATTAACTTCCTCGATAATTACAGGACTAAAACTGACTCCATATACTGCAGGAAATCTGAGCACGTTCCCAAGGGGGTCATACGGCATTTTTCAGGACTGAACGCTTGAGACTTTTAGTGACAATGGAAGTTCTGAAGAGTGACGCTTGAATTCAACTCTCTCCCTCTCAAACGCTCTTCTAATTGGCCGTGACACGCCGCATATGCCAATGCAGCTCAACAGTCTTTAATCTTACAGATGTTTCTAGAAGTCCCTCAGTGGCTCCTTCAGCTGCCCCGAGTTAAACATCAAGGCATATACACACCCACCCTCACGCAGACTCGCAGCTAACTTTCCGACTGCAGTGGCTGCTAGCGCAGGGTGAAAGAGGGAAAGACAAAGAAAAAGCAAGGAGAGGGAAAAGAGTACAGGGAGGGTTGAACTGAGGTCATTTCAACAGAAATGCTGTGAAGAAACTGCAGGGTGTTTCAAAAACACTTCCGTGAATGTCCATTAGAGGTCACTAAATAATACAAAAAGTTTTTTTTTAATGTTTTTAAAGAAGACTATTATGCTCACCAATGCTGCATTTATTTGCTCAAAAATACAATAAGAAAATTTAATATTGTGAAATATTACAATTTAAAAGAACAGTTTTCTATTTTAATATATTTTCAAATATAAGTTATTCCTGTGATGCAAAGCTGAATTTTCAACAGCCTTGTCCAGTCTTTAAAGCAACACTCCACTATTTTTGAAAATAGGCTCATTTTCCAACTCCCCTGATTTTCTAGGCCGATATGGCTAGGAACTATATTCTCATTCCGGCGTAATAATCAAGGAACTTTGCTGCAGTACCATGGGTGCAGCAGGCGCAATGATATTACGCAGTGCCTGAACTTTTCATTTTCTGTCGGTCTTAGTACACGATGTAACTACAGAAGAGTCAAGTTTTAAACAGGAAAAATATAGAAACTCTTCGGTCATTTTTGAGCGAGATGCTAATGGTCTAATCAGATTCAATGATCTATGCTAAGCTGCAGCTAAAAGTGCTACCTCCAGACCTGGAGATTGGCTGAATGGATTCGAAAACGGTAAAACTCAACTGTTTAGCTCTATGGTAGTTGGAAAATGAGCCTATTTTCAAAAATAGTGGAGTGTTCCTTTGAGGTCATATGATCCTTCAGAAATCATTCTGATATGCTGATTTGGTGCTCAATTATTATCGGTGCTAAATTATTATTTTTATTATTAGTGGCGAAAACAGTTTTTCCTACTTAATAGTTTTAAGGAAACTGACTATTTTTGATAATTAGACAATTCCAAAGTCTTTATTTAAACCAGAAACCTTTTGTAACATTATAAATGTCTTTACTGTTACTTTTGATCAATTTAATGCATCCTTATTGAATAAAAGTAAAAGGAAAAAAAAATTTTCTTCTCTGCATTTCTCCTCTTCTCTAGCATCTAGATGTCAAATAAATATATTTTATATTACAACTCTTGTTGGCTCCTTGACTAATTGCTTTTGTTCCTCTTACTTAAAGCACTTTGGATAAAAGCATTGTCTAAATGTGCAAATGTAATGTAAATGAAGAGCTATTATTCTTGCGGTTCTGTTTGGTGCAGCACAAACTCAACCTTTTAAAAATTTAGTATAGCAATAAAGTTCAGTGGTGTTGATGTCTAATTTCATTAATCAGCTTATTTTCTTAAACTGAGTACTTGTTTTTCTGGGTTTTATGCCTCTTTAATATCAAAGAATGACAGGAGAACATTGGGAAAGATTGTTAGCATCTTTGCTAACTGTTTTTGCTATGGCACCATTCACAATGTTTCTTTAAAGGAAAGCATTTAAACCTGCTGTTGTTTAGCCAACCTTGGTAGCAATAGCCTTTAGTTTAGCCAGAAGAGAAGACTTGTTGGCATAAACCACTTCTTCCTCCTCGTTCTCGTCTCCTTCTCCTTCCATAATGGCACAGCTGTCCGCCGCTGGTAACTCGCACTCTTTATTGGCCAACATCACGAGTTTGGAATACTTATACTCCAGCCTATCAGAGCACAAAGATAGAGAAGCACAAAGCTTATTAGCATAAACAAAAAGAGATGTTAGTATATCTCCAAAAACAAGAATCATACTTTTTGTTCTTCTTCCAGAAGTAGCTGGTCAGGGAGACGAGCAGAATAGCACAGAACGCTCCAAGCCCAGCGCCCACCTTCATCCAGAAATCAATCGCCTCACATGGAGACGTTCTCTTCAGCGGGAGAGTCAGTCCTCCAGTACACAGGCGAGGTTCAGTCCACACAAACACGGTGTCCTTAGAATGACAATTTGCATCATTACATTGTTAATTGTGGGCGCTTTTTTGGTCTATAATGAAAACGTCATTGTTTAGCTACACTATGTTCAAAGGTTTGGGGTTGGTGAATGCAAATTTCCAATGTTGTTATATTTTTCATATTCATTTATACAGTATATTCATTAGGAGTTATTCTTTATGATTCTTTCATTATTACTCCACATTATATTCATATTACTGTTTTATGTTACTGGCATATATTCGAGTATTATACATTTATTCTCTTTTATTGTTATCCATTCCATTTAGACTCGTATTCCATTGACGGAGTATTTTCTTTTAGATTCCACATATAAAAGGTACATCTTGTTATGATTAAAAAGTGTTTATCGGATGATGGAAACTTATTCTCAGCCAAAAAAATATTTTATATGCCAGGATGTTTTGCTAAATTTGTCTTCTCGGTTTTTCTGGGTACTAAGTGTTCTGTTCTTTAACAAAGAACTGGTATTTGCAAAGTGATATTTAAAGATTGTTAAGATCTGCTGTATCTAAAGGTGTAAAACCACAGCTCCATCTTTATTTATTTATATATTTTTTTATCTAATCTTATCTATTGTATCTTATCTTATCTATGACCCAGCCTTGACTTCAAGGTGATTTAAGTGATGGAAAATATTCGTAGATGTTTGTATCTGACGTTTATCGATTGGACATAAACTTCTCGTGATGTTATAAGAGGATATAAGTCTCTAGTATATATAGGTCTAATTGGCTTTTCAAAGTTATTACACTTAGATTTTAGATTACTCTCTTAGAATTTTAGCAGAATATACTCAGTTTGGATTTTGTTTCCATTTTTTATTTTTTTATTTAATTTTAATATTTAATTTTATCATCTGTAATTGCTATCACTATGATTTATGATGTTTTGTTTTCAACATTTTTTAATTTTACTAAAAGTCTTTGCCTGCCTAGATCTCTCCTTGCATCAGGGGTCAGTAAAGTTTTTTTTTTTTTTTTACATTTTTTAATAAATGCTACAAAATAAATAACACACACATTTGGTAATAAACTAAATAAATGTAATAAAAATAAAACAATACAAATATTAATATATTTTAAAATGTAATTTATTCTTGTGATGCAAAGCTGAATTTTCTTCAGTGTCAGAAGAAGAAGTGTCATTTGCTGCTCAAGGAACATTACTTTTATTATCAATGCTAAAAACAGTTGTGCAGCTTGTACAGAACAACATTTATTTGAAATGGAAATCTTTTGTAACATAGTAAATGTCTTGACTGTCACTTTTGATTTAATGCATCCTTGCTGAATAAAAGTATTAATTTATTTAAAAAAAATAAAAATAAAAACTTACTGACACCAGACTTTAAAACAGTAATGTACTTAGTTTTTCCCTTTTCTACTTGTAACAATACGAGGAAGTTATTTGTGTCACTCGAGCATCACATTTAAGCTAGTCATCATCATCTTTCAAACTGCACCTGTCACAAACACGTGAACACCCACTGTGATTTTGTTCATCGTTGTTTTGGCGGCTTAATGTGAGGAATATTCCGCATGTGTGTCACCACATGGAGTTCTGAAGAAAACAAACTTCCCCTAGATAAACGTCTGATGATAAATTCAGTAGAATATGCACAAGTCACGACAGACGCTTTTCTTTAGTAGACTGACTTCATTACATCAGTGAGGATCAGACTATTATCTGATTTAAAGTATGTTTTAACTTGCAGCTCCCTGCCAAAGCCAATTTTAACTGCACTTGGTACACAATCATTATAAATAATTTCTCAGTCAATAATATATATATATATATATATATACACACACACACACACACATATATATAATACACACACACTGTATACAGTAACTCATCAACAGAACTAATGAAAGTGTACCTGCACTCCTGCCTTACAGGCTCCTTCAATGGCGTGGTAGTCGACAGCAGTGCAGCGCGGGCATGCGCTAGAGCTCTCCCACAGGAAGTGGAACGTGCAGCCGTCACAGGTCCCTGCAGGACACTCACTGACACAGGACAGAGGAAGTCAAACTAAACTGGAATTGAGCTACTTTTACACTACTTTTGTTGCCACAGGTTTTTTGTTTTTTTTTGTCCGCAGGTTCTAGCAATCTCCTTGTAATGCATTTTCAACCGAGGGGACCCATCATGGAAGGAAAAACCATAGGGGAAAAAAACACAGTGGGGCTAGTTTTATTTATTTATTTATTTATTTAGTCATTTAGCAGACGCTTTTATCCAAAGTGACTTACAAATGAGGACAATAAAAGCAGTCAAAACTAACAAAAGAGCAACAATATATAAGTGCAATGACAAGTCTCGGTTAGCCTAACACAGTACATGTAGCAAGGTGTATATATATATATATATACATACATATATAATACATACACATATATATACATATACACACATACACACACATACATACATACATACAAACAAACAAACACACACACATATCAAATGGCTGCAATATAACAAAGAGTGAAAAATTTAAGGGGGTCTGAATACTTTCCGTACCCACTGTATATACACACATATACACATATATACATATACACATACACAGTACACACATACATACATACATACATACATACAAACAAACACACACATACACATATACATATATACATACCCACATATACATATGCACACATATACACATATATATATACATATACACACACATATATATATATATATATACATATACACACATACATACATATATTATACACACACACACACACACACACAAAGAAAAACAAGTAGATAGAATAGAAAAAATAGAAAGCTAGTGTTTGTTAGTTTTTTGTTGTTGTTTTTTTTAAATAAATGTTTTTTTAAATTAATGAATTAAAAGTTATTACAACTAATTAAAATATGTTAATTAGTTTTAATGAACAATTGTGCTGGTTTTGTTTGAGACCCTGAATGAAACCATCTTAGAGCGATCTTAAACACTGTTTAAAAAAAAAGTTTAGAGAAACTCATTTTATAATATTATAATAGATGTAATGTAATATAATTGTTATATATCATACATGTAATTACACAGTAATTACAACAATATTAACAATCCATAAAAATAAATAAATAAATACACTTACAATGATAACATAATAATTACATAATAATGTAATTTATTGTAAAGTTTTAATGTAATTATAAATAAACATAATAATCAATAATTAATAATATATATAAAAATATATGACTAATAATTACATTCATATTAATAATCTATATTATAAATGCAACAAAATAAGTGACTGCACCTTTGGTAATAACCAAAATAAATTTAATACAAATAAAACAAGACAAATCAACTCAGTAACCCTGCAGTGAGGTGATTTGATACGGCATGATGGGAGATGCCCTGTGCCAAATTTAAACTGCATTAACAGCAGTGTGCTTGTTTATATATATATATGTGTGTCGGACATGAGGTTGTGACCTGTGTAGATCTTTACAAATAAAAGGCGCCATTAAACACGTAATGGATGATAGAGGGAAAAGAACATACATCAAACTTTATTAAAAAACCCTACAACTAAAACCCCAGATAACCATATGAGAGGAACTTTAAGAGGCACTTTAGGTTTGATGACGTAAACGCCAGTACCGATAGAAGAAGTGGACATCTGGGATTCTCTCGGATGCAGATGGAAATAGTTCTGGTCTGGTGGTTATTCCGTTAAGAGATTTCTCCACGGTGGCTCCTGTGGCACAAACACACACACAACCTGTCTTAGAGGACACATGGGGGTGACAGGCAGCACTGCAGGAAGTGCTTAGTAAGCAGGACCACCCGTAGATTCAAGTAATTAATCGTATTTATCACTAAACAAGAAGCCCGTTTTATATATGCTGAGTTTTATACCCGAGAACACAGATGACAGGCACTGTGTAGAATTAAAGCAACAGAAAACTACAGCACATTTTTAATGGCTGGAGCTTGTCTAAAATTAATGGCTCTGACCAGTTTTATGAAAACATGAGTTCACCTTTGAATCGTACAAAGAACATATAACAACATACAAGATTTTTATGTGAATATTGTGTTCCATCTAGGTCCCAATAATGCTTAAAGTTGGAAACATGCATTGATGCATATGTTTGAATTTTTTTCATTATTATATTTCTGAAAAAAATCATTATATGGTATTTTATTTTAATAATAATAAAACAAATGTTATAAAATAATATACAAACAAACATATAAAATATTAATGGAATATTTAAAGAATAATACAAATTGCTATATTTAATTAATTTCATTAAATAGATAATAATTACATTAAAAAAGTAAAATATTACATAATATATTGTTTCCAGGCAGGAATGTTGGGGTGTTACAGGATTACTTATGTGGAAGGTGTGTGGAAAACATTGCTATTCTGTTTCTTGTATACATAAAAAATATATTTTGCATAATTGTCCTCATATATAATGCATTCAGATAGTAAAGACAAAAAAATAACACTGCATGAAGATGTTTTATAGTTGCCACAGTCCCCAAGTGGTCTTCTCATTAACAACAGCAGCGCTGACATTGTTTTTGCTCATAGGTGATATTTCATACTTACTGAGCTTTGATGATTAAACTGCAAATGATTCTACTTCAGTTAGAAGTCCCATCGGGATTTGACTTATAATTAAATAAGCCATTAAGGATGCTTTTCTCCGTTGTTTACAGATAATGGAAAGTCTGTTAAACATTTAATTGATGTCATAACTTACTAATAAGTCTGCTAAAATGTATATTGTAAGTAATTCAAATGAATGAAATATGGACATGCACATCACAAACGCTACACTATCAAGAAGTCAGAATACATTTTTAGTTTTGAAATGATGAAATGATCTCACCCTGAAAAGTGTCGGCCAGGCTAATGGACTGAGAGGAAAGAGCTGTTCTTAAGCCCCGCCCATCAGATGGGATAATCGTTGATTGACAGAGAAAAGCCTCCACTGAACTGCCCAGCTGACCACCTTCAGCGTCCTCATTGGGCAGGTTTGTGACATTATCTCTGCAGACCGCAGCCTTGTGACCCTGACAAAAGACAGATGAAGGAATAAATAACATTATTATGTCATTTCTGCTTATTTCAGGTGTTGGTGTTGTACCTCAGCTCCACACAGGCTGATATTGAAGAGGTGGTAATACTTTGTGCCTTTCGCAGTGAAGCTGGGCCCGTTCATGATGGACCCAGCGGAGTTCAGAGCACTGAAGTCATACCAAAGTGTCCGATTCTGGTCAGTGCATGTGAACAAACAGTCGCTGAAACACACACTGTGCTCCTAAAATTGAAACATTCAAGAGAGAACGGTCAGCAGTGTTTCCCACAGACTTACACTCTATTTGTGGCGGCATATATATGCAAATTAATTCTCTGCCAGCAAGAGGTGCTTAGAGTGGGAGAAATAGAGGTTTCCCCGGTAAGGGCTGTACACAAAGCAGCGCTCTGCTCACAAACACTGCTTTATCAGACATTACATGCAAGATGAAATGAAAATGAAATGAAAATTTTCTGAAGACAGTCGGTTTCCTTCAGAAATACAGTGATATAAAAACACCCGCACCGGGTTTCGATTTTGAAATGTGCAGTGCTCATGTTTATTCAACGAAGTCAAAGCCTTTTGGAAAAGCTATTGGTGGCGGTCAGTTTTGATATTGTGGCGGGCTGCCACAAATAAATCAATGTATGGGAAACACTGGTCACACACTTATTAGTTATCATTATTCCTGAAGCACTTTCAGTAAGGCCTATTTTCTCAACCACTAATCTAATGGAATTAAGACTTATGTATCTGTTTGTTTGTTTGTTTGTTCAATTCAAAATGATACATTTGACCAATTTACATAATGACTTAAATTAACAGCATTTTTCATACAAAGTGACCCTTCACCATATTTTTTTCAGTAGCTTCTGAATATTTATAGTGAATAGTGATAAATGTCCTTAGCCAAACTTTTGAAAATATTACATTATATAACGTATTATAATTAAAATTAAAAGTATCACCAATATTACCCCATAGAAAGGGCCATGTTTCAAAAAGAAAATAAATTATATCAATAATAATAATAATAAATGTATACATTTTTTTATTCTTTATATTTATTACGGTTTCATTATTTTTATATTTAGTAAGAAGACAAAAAATTTAATTAATAAACAAATAAATTTGTTTTAATTTATTTCTAGATATATTTATAAGTGCTATTCTGCCACCTAAAAACAGAGAAACAGTAGTTGAAATACCTTGTTGCTTTTGCTGCCTGGCCCACACGGCTGACACGCTTCTTTGCCATAGATGTGATGCCCAGATAGGACGGCATTAGGAGGGCACTCTTGGCACTGGTTGGTCTCTTTATCAATGTAGTGTCCAGCTGGACAGGGCACACAGGAGGAGCCAGCCTGCAGGGCACACGCCCGACACGCTGATGCCACTCCATCCATGGCATTAGTGACAGTCACAGAGTAAATCTTCACCATGTCATTTACATACTGACGCACCTGATGGACAGTGGGAACGACTTATTATGACTACTGTCATTCTGTAAACATGTTTTTTTATCAGTGTGAGTGTGAATGAATTTGTACTGACATCACTAGCCTGATTGGTGCGTTGAAAAGCCCAGGTGAACGCAACAGAAGAGTCTTCAGTCATGATGTGTGTGTAACTCTGTTTGCTTTTACTCCCCTCCCATGATTCAATGACATTTGTGCTCCTTCTGTTCACATCCTGAAGCAACAACAAAATCAATAACACTTTAAAAAGAAATTAAAGTCTGACCACTTTTAGTAAACGTAAAGGCTTAGTACATAGTACAATTACTTATCATCTACATTCCAAACCTCTATGACTTTCTTTCTTCTGTGGATAATTTGAGAGAATGTTGGTAACTAAACCGTTTCGGCTCCCATTGACTTCTATAGTATTTTTGTCCATGCAGTGGGACCCAATGGGACCCGATACCATTTTAATCAAAAAAATTCTTCAAATGGTCTTCATACAGGTTTGGAACAACATAAGGCATTCATATGATGGGTTAATTTTTTCTTAATCTTCATTTTTTTTTTTGGGGTGGACAATGTTTTTAAAACACTTGTGCGGTCTTCGGTCACTTCTGACTGGAGAATTTCACATTTTGAATTTTTTTAAATCGTAGCTTCACCAGAATGGTTTGAAACTTGGTGACTTTTATGACACATAAAAAAATTGAGGGCATGATTCGAAAAAGCTAAGTAGTCGTAAAAAAAAAAGAGTCACACTCATGGTCATTGGTCAAAAATGACCGACCATAGGAAATTCATGGGAAATGGGAAAAAAATCGAAAATACAGAAATTTGTGTACAGTTTACAAATCCCCCACAATGGAGAAAAAAATTGCACAGCAATGAAGGGGTGAAACTCTAAAACATCTAGAGTGCAAAATCAACACACCAACTCACACACGCGCGGACACACACTTCTACACACACACACACACCTATGAACTGGTGTGACTGTAACACTGCAACTATGTAAAATAAAATCAATAATTCAACTACAATGCAGTAAAAAAGAAGGGGTTACACTCTAAAACATCAAGAGTGTAAAACAGATACATCCACTCACACACACTCACAGACACACACATACAGAATTATACATACTCAAATGAATTGGTATGGCTATAACCATACAGCCAAAATGAGTCAGAAGACTGAAATAAGAGGTTAAAATCAGATCAGACCCAGAAGGATTAAGCTCTGATAAAGCATTCCTGTTCATTTTTGTTACATTTTTATAGAATTTTAATGTTTTGTGTAACAAAATACTTTGTGTTCAGGTTTGAATGTAGTAATAATAATGCAAAACCCTACACTTCAAATCAACATTTAAAACAACAAAAAATATAAACCTTGACAAAAAGTAGTCTTTGAGAATGCCTTAATATACATTTAAATCCACAACCTAATAAAAGTAAACAATTATGTATAAAAACAACTAGGGAATTCATAAGCCTCTCTATAGTCCTATACAGGAATCTAGTGGTTACACCATTAAATCACAGGTTTTTTTCTTTTTTTTTTTGCTCTCACCAGGAGGTGCTATTCTGCCTTCAAAAATTGGATTTTAAAGGCTTAGTCTCTATTTTAATCTGAAATACTGCATTAATTGAAAAATAACTTTAAAAAAAAATGTGTACTATTTTCAGTGGGAAAAATGTATCACAATTATTGCATAGATATTAATTAGTACCATAAAATTCTCTCAAAATACAAAGGAAAAAATATTATTGAACAAAAATATATTAGACTGATTTTACTGTAGAAAAACAAAAAAGTTACATTTCAGGTGTCCGGTCACTTTTGACCGCGAAGACCATGAGTGTGACTCCCAAATGAGGAGCGCACTTAAAGGGGCACTAAGTATTTTTCTTTTTTTTTTGCATACGTTGTGAAGCTTCATCTCATGTGAACGTGCATGATTTTAAACATATTCTACCCAGTCTCATTAGAAATTGTAGTAATTTCAACAATTACTTACAGAAAAATTGCAATAACTCATTCAATCTTTGTCGCACAAAAATATACAACCTAAACCCAACCATAAACAACACTTTACCCCAACCCTAAATTTAACTGTGACTGTAATAGGAGGGGGGGAGACAAGGTTTGCGTTTTAATGTATATTTTACATATTTCTGTAGGCAAAAAGGGTTAATGTGGGGGGGATACAATTTTGTTTCCATTCCAAACCAATTGCAAGCAGTCATGAGAGTGCTAACAAGTCAAAAGTACCAAACTTCATCAAATATTTTGAGTGCACATTTAAAAGCAGATAAAACGGTCTATCAAAAACAAAAACAGCAAATAGAACTGCAAACACGCTCACCGTCATGAAGTAGAACTCACAGTCAGCTGAGCAGCTGGTTTCAAACTCAAAAGTGATCCGGCTGTACTCACTGCCGGATGCTCCTCGAACTGACACAGGCAACCTGATACGACAAACAGTAACAGACTCATTTCTAAACAGACAGCACATGTTATGTAAGGACAAACACTTCTGCATACACACCAAGTTCTGTACCAAAAGGACATTATGTTCTTGTAATACCAACTCACACAGCAGAAACGTTCATGTACAGCATTTTAACCATGCTAATCACACAAGGCTTTAATGAGCTTTAATGAACGTAATGCGCAGTGGGCAGCACTTGAACAGTGTAGTTGTGTGGAGGTGGACAAGTACTTGAAGACTCACTTGAATCCAGGCACCGTGAGAGTTAATATGAGATAATCGTTATCTGAACGACCTGCTCCTGATTGTACATGATCACCCGCTACTTCCCAACCTAAAACACACAAAATGTTCAAGATATGAAGGTATTATGCACACAATGTACACAAAAAATAAGAACATGTGGAAAAGCCCATTTAAATTGATCAGTGATGCAACAGCGACACCTAGCAGTAAAAACAAGCATTACAGCCATATGCTGTAACATAGTACCACCATACTCATGTAATCTCTCACCATTCAATCCATCACAATTGTTGTTGGCCACGTTGAAGCAGGATGTCTTCATGTTGGCAGGCAGCACGTTCCACCACTTGTACTCATAGACGAGGACAGGCTCCGTGCCAGCTGGACAAGGCTGGCATGCTACAGATGCCACACAATCCATGTTTAATATCTTTTGGCTGTTTGTTTGAAATGATGTTCATGCTTTTGAAATAATCATAATTCATACGTCCTTTTTAAGATGTCAGGATGGTTTCTCACCTTTGACCCCATCAGAGTAAGTCCCGGGTGGACAGGGAGAACAGGTGGCAGTGTCGTTGTTATAGAAACCAGGATTACAGGGTGGACAAGGCTCACGCTGACCAGAAGGTGGCAGTGTTACTGCGCCAGCAGCAGCTGCCAAACAAATCTGAGGCTCTACCCACTTATACATGACCTGAGTCTGAGAGGGACAGCATTTATATACTTGAATATTTTAAATGGAAAATTAAAAATATTACTATTTTACGACATTACTCTCTCTCTCTCTCTCTCTCTCTCTCTATATATATATATATAAACACATACACACACACACAGGTGCATCTCAAAAAATGTGAATATTGTGAAAGTTCATTTTTTGTAACTTATTTCAAAAAGTGAAACTTATATATATTTTACATTCATTACATGTAAAGTGAAACATTTCAAAAGTTTTTTTTGTTTTAATTTTAATGATTAGAGCTTCCAGCTCACGAAAGTCAAAAATCTAGTATCTCAAAATATTAGAATATTTACATTTGTGACCCTGGACCACAAAACCAGTCTTAAGTTCCAATTTTTCCAAAACTCAGACGTCTTCAGGAAAGGGGCTACCAAGCCACTTCTGAAACAGAAACAATGTCAGATAAAAATATTACTATTTTACGACATTACTCTCTCTCTCTCTCTCTCTCTCTCTCTATATATATATATATAAACACATACACACACACACAGGTGCATCTCAAAAAATGTGAATATTGTGAAAGTTCATTTTTTGTAACTTATTTCAAAAAGTGAAACTTATATATATTTTACATTCATTACATGTAAAGTGAAACATTTCAAAAGTTTTTTTTGTTTTAATTTTAATGATTAGAGCTTCCAGCTCACGAAAGTCAAAAATCTAGTATCTCAAAATATTAGAATATTTACATTTGTGACCCTGGACCACAAAACCAGTCTTAAGTTCCAATTTTTCCAAAACTCAGACGTCTTCAGGAAAGGGGCTACCAAGCCACTTCTGAAACAGAAACAATGTCAGAAGCATCTTACCTGGGCTAAGGAGAAAAAGAACTGGACTGTTGCTCAGTCCAAAGTCCAAAGTTGTCCAAAGCCCTCTTTTCAGATAAAAGTAAATTTTGCATTTCATCTGGAAATCAAGGTCTGGAGTCTGGAGTCTGGAGTGGACTGAAGCTGGAGTCAGTGCATCAAGAGTCACCATGCTCAGATGTCTTCAGGAAAAGGGCTACCAAGCCACTTCTGAAACAGAAACAATGTCAGAAGCATCTTACCTGGGCTAAGGAGAAAAAGAACTGGACTGTTGCTCAGTCCAAAGTCCAAAGTTGTCCAAAGTCCTCTTTTCAGATAAAAGTAAATTTTGCATTTAATTTGAAAATCAAGGTCTGGAGTCTGGAGGGAAGATTGGAGAGGCACAGAATCCAAGCTGCTGGAAGTCCAGTGTGAAGTGTCCGAAGTCAGAGATGATTTCTGGTGCCGTGACATCTGCTGGTGTTGGTCCATCAGGTTTTAGTAAGTCCAAAGTCAATTCAGCCGTCTACCCTTTTTTTGATTGATCTTAGGAAATATTCTAATATTTTGAGATACTGGATTTTTGACTTTCATGAGCTGGAAGCTCTAATCATCTAAATTAAAACAAAAAACTTTTTAAATGTTTTGCTTTA